CACTCACATACATGCAGGCAATACACTCATACACATAAAATTAAAAACAAACAAACAAACAAAACTAGGGCTGGAGATATGGCTCAGCAGTTAAGAGTACTGGCTGCTCTTGCAGAGGACCTGGGTTCAAATCCCAGCACCCACATGGTGGCTAACAACCATCCATAACTACAGTTCCAGGGATCCAATGCCCTCTTCTGACTTCCTCTGGCACTGCACAACATGCATACACTTACACACATGCAGGCAATACACTCATACACATAAAATAAAAATAATTAAAAAATAATTCATGTGTAACATAAAAATAAACAAATTCTGTTTGTCCTTACTTCTTTTCCCACTGTCTTTTCTCACAGTAGAATTGTTTCCAACATCTGTGGTATCTACAAAGCAACATGTGGTGGTCAGAGAACTGTAATTTATAAATAAAAATCAGAAATCTTATGACAATTGGCATTGCTTAGCAAGTTCCAGTGTGTGTGGTGTGTGTGTGTGTGTGTGTGTGTGTGTGTGTGTGTCTGTGTCTGTGTCTGTGTGTGTGTGTGTCTCTGTGTGTGTCTGTGTCTGTGTGTGTGTGTAGCTCAGGGGTCTACATTAGGGTTCTTCCTCCATTGTCCCCCATCTTTTTTTTTTTTCAGACAGTCTCTCCCTGAACCTGGAGTTTGCCAGTTGGCTAGAGTCGCTGGCCAGTGAACTGCTGGGACCCTCTGTCTTCGCCTTCTTGATGTTAGGATCCCAGGTCCATGCCACCATGACCACTCAGCTTTCTATGTGGGTCTTGGGATCTCAACTCAAATCATCATGCTTTATGGCAAAGACCTTACTGACTGAGCCATATCCCCAGTCCCTGCTGTTCTTTTCTTTTCTTTGAGGCAAGTTCTCACGTAGCCCAGGCTGGCTTCAAACTCACTATGTAGCTGAGGATGATCTTGAACTCTTCATCCTCTTGCCTTTACCTCCCAAATGCTGGGATTACAGGCCTGCATCAGCATGCCCAGAAAAACCTAAAGTTTTAATCATGTTTTCCTTCTAATGAAAAAGACAAATCCAGAATTTACATCTAAGATCTTCCTTCAGTTCTCTGAGACTTTGAGAAAGCTTTTAGTTAAGTGTGTGCACCAGACCCTTGTTTGTGAAACCAGGGTCACAACAGCTATCCTAGTCAGCTTTAGATTTTCATGGAGATTAAAATCTTTTAAAAAATTATTTTTAGTGTGTGTGTGTGTGTGTGTGTGTGTGTGTGTTTGACTACATGTAAGTACATCACATGCCTTGGGTCTAGCACATGCAGAGCACAGGATTCTGGTACACCTTGGACCTATTCCTTGTTACCACCTGCTCACAGCCAAGTGCTGCCATTGTTTAAGTCTTATCTTGAATTTCTAAAGCTGTTTACCATTTCTGTCAAGCCCTGTCTTTACCCAGGTGTGTATCATCTACATTTGGTGACACCTCCATGGGTCACCAGCTTCATTGTTACCAATGCTCTCTCTCTCTTTTGACACTGAGCACACAGCCATTTCTATTCCCCTTGAAGCATTCTATGCTGCAAACCTGCCAGTCTCTGACTTTATTTCCATGCTTCTGGTACAACTTCTAAGAGATATCTTGAAATTTAAGTGGTGTTGGGGATTGAACACAGGACCTCAAATTTGTCAGACAAGCATTCTACTTCTGAGCCTATGCCCCAGTCCTTGGGAAATATTTTGCAAATTATCTCTTTCCACAAAACTCCCCTATCCTGGTATTTGATCCACCTAGAAGAAATTGAAATTGATGAATATCTTTTCATTTGATGACCCAGCTTGCCTTTTCTATTCATTCTCCTTACATCACCCATTTAGTATTACCTCCAGGAGCCCAGCTAGGTCTTCTGATTTTTTGGCTCCGTCAAATTTGTTAAAAGCGCCAGGTGTGGTGGTACACACCTCTAATTCTGGCACTCCAGAGGCAGAGGTGGGCCGATCTCTGTGAGTTCCAGGCCAACTGGGGCTACAGGGAGACCCTGACTCAAAATATCAAAAAAATTTGCTAAAAGCAGTTCGAGGTACACAGGTAACTCTGTGGTATTTGTGCATGTGCATGTTTGGGTAGAGACGTGAGGAAAGAAAGGAGTTTTTTCCCTCCAATCACAGGACAGCAAAGATCTCTGACACTGTTAAAATTAGCTTCTCTTCACATGTCAATAGGCTGTATCCCTTCTGACTCTCTTCCTGTCTTCATTCAAGAGCTTTGGATTCACGAGACATTGAAGAGATGTAAATGATAGACCATGGACTGGAGGTGTGACCAGGGAACTCCCTGAACATTGTCCTGAGGGATGTTTGGCACACAAATGAACTGAGGGGAAAAAGAAGACACCTCCATAGTGACTACACATTTCATCCAACAGAGGTCCAGTCTCTTCTCCCTCAGGCCACACCTCATTCTGCTCCATTTCCCATCTGCCATTCTGCCTCTGCCTCTACATTTCTAGCTCTGCCCCTTTTAGTCTATGATTCTAGCCTTCTTCCTTTCTCTGATCTTCTGTGCTTTTTCTCTTATGCTCTCAATCTCTGTTCCCCTATATTTCTCTGTTAATTCTTTCTCGATATGTAGTACACAAAATAGTTGGCTCTATTGCCCCTTCTTTTTGTGATTTTTTTTGCTGTCTCCATTCATATATACATATATATACACACACACATATATATCAACCAACATTTATACATAGTGTGTATGTAACCGTATTTGTATATATTTATGTCACATACATCTTTTATATAATATATACCTTCTGATTTGTTTGTGCATGCTGTATGTGCAGGTGCATTATGGGTAGGGGGTTGTGTGTGTGCATGTGACGTGCATGTGCATGTGGAGGCCAGGAGAGAACTTTGGGTGCCATTCTGCAGGTACCATATACCATGTCTGATGTTGGTTTATTTTTATTTTATGAGTGTTTTGCCTGCTTGTATGTAAGTGCACTCATGCCATGCAATGCCATGGAGGCCAGAAGAGGACATTGAATCCCTTGGAACTGGAGGTAAGGACAGGAACCCTCATCTTCTGAAGAGGAGCCACTGCTCTTAGCCACTGAGTTATCTTTCTAGCCCCCCACCTTGTTTTTTTATGGGACAGGATCTCTTGCTTGCCTTGGACTCACCAGGTAGGCTAATCTGGCTGGCCAGTGATCTCCAGGGATCTGCCTGTCTCCACCTTCTCAGAGTTGAGATTGCAAGCACATGTCACCATGCCAGCTTTTTTTTTTAACAGGGTTCTGAGAATTAAACTCAGGTCCTGACACGTGCTTCATCAACTGAGCTATCTCTCCAACCATATATCTTTTGTTTTCTCGCATGTGAATGTGTGTGGCATACGTGTGTACATGTGCACACACATGTGAAGGCCAGTAGTTGACTTGAGTGTCTTCATCCATCACTCTCTGCTTTTAAAGTTTTTTTTAATTAATTAATTAATTAATTAATTAATTTTTTATTTTATGTGAGTGTTATGCCACCAGTGTCCTACAGTTCCTGCAGAGGCCAGAAGAGGGTGTTGAATCCCCTGGAACTGGAGTTACAGATGGTTATTAGCCACCATGTGGGTACTGGGATTTGAACCCATGTCTTCTGCAAGAACAACCAGTGTTCTTAACTGCTGAGCCATCTCTCCAGCCCCCTGTAAAATGGCTGTTATAAGCAGCTGTAGAGTTAGTCCAGGTACTTTTAGTGTGTTCACAACTGCCTGGAACCATCACA